GTAACCCCACCCCCGCCGTCTCCTTTTCGGAACTGGCCGCGCCAATGCCTGGCTCAACGTCAGATGGCGAAGTTCCTCGTATAGGTTGAGCGGTGTGTTCATTTGAGAGTCGAAGAGAGGGGGTTAAAAAAGAAAAAGAAATCCAGCCCTTGGATTCCTGCGTTTAATTCGGACCCTACATCGCTAAGAAGGGGGGGGAAAAGATTTCAGATCTGACTGTGGCAGGAGGAAAGCAGACAGAAGCGGAAAAGAAGGAGGAATGTGCCTGTATCACGTATCTCCTTTGGAAAATAACCCCTTAAGAGAAAAACAGCCAAGTCTTCTCTGGTTTTCCTTAGGTCTCCCTTGAAGATACATACCCAGATGGGTCTGGGCAGGAGATTCTGGAGATTTTGTACCTTCTCTTTGGACTCCAGAAAATCCCATCCAACTCAAGGAAGTTGAAGGGGGGGGGCATTGCCACACACTTCTTTAAGGAAGGGGAGACCCCACCAGATTTATAATTCTGTTCTCAGGATCCGGGCTTCCAGACCTCATGACCATTGGATTTCCTTGGGACCACCTGGATGTGGATTTAATACGGGCTTCCAGAAGCAAAGGAGGGGGAAAAAACCACATTGTTGAGTTTGCTGGACTTGGAGTGGTCTTATTTTTTAGAAGCGGTCCCCTGTTTTGATTTGTTTTCAAATGATTATTATTTAACCTAATCCTGGACCAGTTGCCAACTCTGTCTAGAGCTACTGTTTGCCATGGGATTGAAGATTTCTTAGATTTCTGGTTCTGGTGGCCATTCCTCCAATTTTCTCTCTGTTGACTTGCACCTGAAAGGCTACATTTATGAGATGGAAAATCGAGGGCTATTCAGTGCCCTGTGTTACTTGATGCTTAATGCTCCCTTGCTGCTCATAGTACAGGGTAAGTCGCAAACTTCTAACCTTTTTTTCTCTATATAGCAAAATGAGGCAGCCAGTTGAACATTGATAGCAAGGGGAGCGGGGCTAGTGTCTGAGAACCTATCCTTCTGTATGTTGCAACAGTTCCTTTAAAAAATCAGTGCGATGTTTATTAATGCATGTGTTTTCTAAAAGCCTAATACTAAATTGCTATGCACCATTTTTAGACAGATGATCAGAGAGAGAGAGAGAAATAGGCAGAGAAATGATTCACTGTTAGGGACGTCTATGGGTTGAAATGAGCCCACATTGTTGCAAATGTAAGGTTCTGAGAATGACGGTGAAGCAAAAGGGTGCATGCAGAGAACACAGCCAAGGCTGCAGGATTGGGGGACAGCTGCACTCTGCTGCAGAGAGTCAGGATTCAGAGCTAAAAGGAGACATGGAAAATGGTGGGTAACAAGGACCACATCCCCAAAGCCACAGCTGATGAAATGTGCAAAGCTGGGCACCTGGGGAGCAGAGAAAATGAGCATCTGAATGGAGGAAGGGAGGCATTTCTGCAAACTTTTGTGCTCTCCTTAGCCACTTGTCTGACATGGATTGGTGCCGAGACTGCAGTGAACAGGAGGGAGGTGTACCTGGTATTGGGGGGGATCCCAATCTCTCATTCACACGGAGGGATGACTGGCGAACTTACTTGCTAGCGCCCATGGTGATGTGCTCTGTTCAGAATTGTAAGAATGACTTCACTAAGGTCTTCTGCGTTCAGAGGGTTTGCCTAGATAGCCTTCAGATTTCCTTTTTTTCAGTGTTTGTGATTCTTATGTCCAGGGAAACTGTTTGAGGCAGCATCTATAGTTTCTCCAAGGGTTCAGGGATGCTGAGAAACTCCTTTGTTGCAATGTTTTGCCTTGCATTTCTGATTTTAGCAAAAGAACCTAGGACCGTCCATCTCTCCTTCCTTCCTTCCTTCCTTCCTTCCTTCCTTCCTTCCTTCCTTCCTTCATTCCTCCTTCCTTCCTTCCTTCCGCTTTGCTACCCTCTTGTTTCCTTGTAATTCTTTTTATCTTCAGCTACATTTACCGAAGTTCCTAAAGATGTGACTGTTAGGGAGGGAGATGATATTGAGATGCCTTGTGCTTTCCGGGCCAGTGGATCTGCCTCTTACTCCTTGGAAATCCAATGGTGGTACCTTAAGGAACCAGCACGAGAGCTTGCACACGAATTAGCCATCAGTGGTCCTGGCAGCAGAAGCAAGGTAATTAAAAAAATCCACCTCCCAATGATGCATTACATTCTCCCACCATTAATTAACATGATTTGCTACAGTCTGCAAGGTTGGTAGGAACAGAGAAGGAAGACTTCAAGCAGCAGTTTAGAGACATATAAGGGGAAAATTGCATTTCCAGGGTTCTTTCTATCCCAAGAGCTGATTCAGACTCACAGGTGAAGCACAGAACCTACCCAGAGGGACCATTTACACAATCATTTGCATCAGTGTTCAAAACCATTTTGGATCTGTGTCTAGTTCATATGTTTATTAGTATCTGAAGGGTCAAGGGTGATGTGCATACATTCATGAGATATCAAAGTTCAGAGACCTTATCCAGGACATGGATGACACCACATAGACTCTTGTATGCATTTGGCTGTATATTCACACATTTCTGTATATTCTGTATGCTATTGTTCCCGATAGCTAGAGATAGCTAGGGAACCATATACATGCACTGTGTTAGGAAACCAATGATTTGCATCCTTGGGTGAACTGCCTTTTCACATTGCATTTGCAATCTGTCAACCTGAGATTCATGGTTTCAGTTTTCAAAAGAGTTCTAAGAGAAGGTGAGCCGTATTCTAGCGCTCTGACCTCGATGCTTTGCAGCATCTATAGGAAAGTTTGCCACCCAGATAAAAATCACTGCAAGGTGTCTTCAGCATCCTCCCTGGTTGTCTGAACCCTCTCCAATGTAGAAGGGAAAGGAAGATGAGATAGACTGACAGCAAAATTGACCCAGCCCACTATTTAAACATCTTCTGTACTAACATGGTAAATAGGTAAGCTACTAGAGATTGAATGGGATGGCAAATATCGATCATGCTACTGACAACCAATGTCATTTCAGTGCAGTTCTGGTTAGGAGAGAGGTTGTCCAGCCATCTCGCAAACAGACACCGCATAAAGTGAGATGCAAGCAATCTGTCTCAGTGAATGTGATGCCCTCAATTAAAATTCAGTGGGACCCCACTCAGATCACTACTAAACTGAGAACAGATGGAGAATAATATGAATTCCATGCACCACAACATAAACATTGATTTCCCTCCATACTCAACTTCAGGATGGAAACATGGATTGCTTGGAACATGCTTGGAACATGATCCCATGCTGGGTACTATGTTCCAGAAAGCTGGAATTCCAAAAATTCTCATTACAGTATTGCTTCCTCCAGCATTTTTTACCTTCCTTGCTCTCTTGAAGATTTTGTACACCCTTACTAAGAAAAGTTTTAGAGAAAATGTTTTGGTGACATTTTAGTTGGTCCTACTGCCTAGTTATAGATTTCCTTGCCTTTCATCTGACCAACATGATTATCTTTGTTTTTTTATATGACATAACTACTTGGGAACAAGTTCAATCACAACTGAACATACAACAGGAGTAAGAAAAATATGATTGCAATGAACTAGGCTAGGGTGATAAGGTGGGACTGGAGACCTCCATTTGGTTACAAACAGCCCTTTGAATCATAAAAATATAATAAAAGTGAGCAGTCCCTTGATTGTGCTGATCTTCATTCATTCATAGAATGGGAATTAAATCAGTACAGTTGGAAGGGAGAGAGATACAGTAATCCAAATTGGCTTATACATTTTCCTTATTGTAGTGGTTCAAATGTTGGACTAGGACTGGAGAGATCCAGGTTCAAGTCAGACTCTCGTCCATGAAAATTCCCTGGGTGACTTAGGCCCAGCTAATATCCCTCAGCCCAACCTAACCCACACAGTTGTTGCAGGAAAAGGAGGAAGATCTACAATGTATATCACCTTTTGCTCCTGGAGGAAAGGCAGGATATAAACCTAACAAAATTAATAAATAAAAATGATTTAATAAATGTCCTGGGTCTTTTCAAGAGGATGTTGTTTCCCCAAGACAGCGATCTTTGGACCGTGAAATCAGCTGAAGTTGTAAAACAGTATAAAATTAACAGCACAAAGTTGAAGAGGAAGACCTTCAGAAATAAATAATTTCATTCAGGTTCAGCCAGTCAAGATATAAAACTAAGAACAAATTCATATATGGTGTATTCTTTCAGTAGAAAGGGTGCAGAACAAACATGTATTTTGGGCCTATCTGTAAATCAAGTAATCAAACAGAGAAGGAGCTGGTTTTCTTTCCTAAAGGGGGAGTTGCATAAATAAAGGGCTACCCCTTAAAAGATCCTGTCTCATAATCTTCCAACCAAAGATTGGTTGGAAGAGCATCTACAGGGTGTCAAAAAAGACAAAATGGTGACACAAAAAGGGGGAAGGCCTTCAATCACCAAATTGGCATGGCCCTTATCTTTACTAGTTTCACACACAGAGAGACACACACAGACACACACACACCATGGATACCTCTGCAGCCAAATTTTCCTCCTTTTTCAGGCCAAGGTATTAATTTTATCTCAAACTGTCAGTAGCGTTAAAGGTTAACAGCAGCATTTTGAACTGAGCGCAGATGTGAATAGTCACCATGGCCAATACAAAATTGTTGCCATGAAATCCAAATAATAAAGTCTGACTAAAAGGCTCTGAAAAGTAGTCATTATCTTAAAAGAAATATGCTTCTTTTTCAGAGCTTGCCTTTCTAATAGTTGTATATACAAACATCTTTAAAAGTGTGTGTGTGTGTGTGTGTGTGTGTAAAATCTTCCACCTAATTCTTTAGAGAGAACCTTTTCAGAAACAATTTTGAAAGTTCTAATCAATTGGATAGAGACAGATAGACAGACGGACTTTATTATGATCAACTGAATATTACAGCCCTTGTAACTTTATTACTCTCACTACCAAAAGGAGTCAAACTGATCTTTTGTTTGTGATGAAACCTACATAAAGTTGGCTAGTAATAATCAAATGGTGAGGCTTCAGTGAAAGACAGAGAGGGAGGGTTTTATTTTTTTTTTAAGATGATGTTTGGGTGGGGTCTCATATTGGGTGTATTTAACCACTGCTAGTGATCTGTCTACCTATTTAGCAATATCTATCTATCTATCTATCTATCTATCTATCTATCTATCTATCCATCCATCCATCCATCCATCCATCCATCCCTGTCTGCAACATTTGTATCAAAGCAGCAATTTGTGAGAATCTCATTTGCTGAGCAGTTGGTTCTCAAACTCACCCCTACATGCTGCTCTCTAGTGTCTGAAGCAGATCTTGTCTTCTTTGCAAAGTCAGTAACCAAGTCCTGTTGAAATCTTAAAACTGTATTGCTGTTAAGTGTGCATTTAGTGCTTTCTTTCTTTCTTTCTCTTTCCTTCTTTCTTTCTTTCTTTCTTTCTTTCTTTCTTTCTTTCTTTCTTTCTTTTTCTTTCTTTCTTTCTTTCTTTCTTTCTTTCTTTCTTTCTTTCTTCTTTCAATAAATAATGCCTCAAGGATTCGTGGATTGTTTGACAGAATAGATTTCAACATACAGATGATTCCTGCTGGATGTTGAGGGGGAGGGGTGTTTTTCCCCCATTCTAAACTCAGCTGCGACTATGTATGTCCACCCCCTGGAGACATTGCAGGAGATCTCTGCAGAGGGATGATTTATCTCTTCTCTTGACATGTGATAATTAAATGTAGTCAAAGGAAAGCAGGTGAAGTCTTCAGAGATCTTTTCCAAGCAGCATTTGGAAGCAAGGCTCTGAGTCTGGTATGGTTTCAAATGTCTGGCTTGACTTTAATGCATGTTCAGGAGTCACATCAAGGGTTGACCAAGCAAAATCACCCATTAGCTGAATGAAAACCACCAGAAGATCCACTCGTAAGAGACTGATCTATAGGTAGCCAGATAGGGATTTCTACATGGGTGGGAGGAGGGAAGTGTCAGAAAAGTAAAGATGGCTGTGAATGCACAATTGCAGCCACCATCTTGACTTTTTTCAGCCCTGCCCACATGGCTGCAGCCAAGAGCCTCCGTGGAAGGGATTTCAAAAGATCTCTGAACAAAAATATATCAATCCTTTAGATCACCCAATATTAGAATAATGGGAAGTTTTGCACCTACCCAAACCCCAAGATGCATTCAAAGGAAATGGTCACTGTTCATCTACATTGGATGAAGGAAAAAGAAAATTTGCAGAGGTGGGAATTTGTACTCATCTTTGTGACTGATATACAAATTTACCTCCCTCCCGCTGGCTCTCAGAAAATTGCACCCAGCATCCATGCCTCTGTAAAATGTCATGAGTTTACATTATTGAATATGTAAAGGCAATTGCACTTAATTTGCATAGCTCCACCCTGGAATCTATTCCTTGGTCATAGTAGAATGCGAGGATCTGGTCTTGCAAATCAAGTTGCAGCATGGAGCACTTGGCTGAGAATTCCACTCTATTCCTCTCCCCATAATCCTGCCACTCTATGCTTTCCACCTCTCTCCTACCAGACGGTCAACAATGTTTCACTGCAGTGGAGATACACAGCCCTTACTGGGCTGTTTTTTGGGTGCCTGCCATCTTCTGCAAACTTGGGGTTCCACCAGCCCTGCTAATTCCTCCCAGTTGTGCATGGTCATACTACTTTTGTCTACTTCAGCAATGGGATGGCAGCCTGAACATGAGAAATAGAGAGATTGCTATATAATGCTGCTGTATCAGCACAGGATGTAAAGTTGATGCAGGGTAGGTCAGAATGTGAATGAGTATGAATGAGTGTTTAAAATCTGAAACCCCATGCAACTACAGAGTCACAGACTGAAAGGTGATCCTCTGGAGTCTTCAACCTCCCTTGAGATTCCAGTTCTGCTTGAATTGATTTGCAAAGCATACAAGCACCCAACCACCAGCTGTTCTTTGAGTGGGATGGCATGTTAAGAGGATGGAATCGGCAAGGAAAATAACGATTCCACATTTGAGAGGCCTTCTATAGATACATGGAATATATCAAGTCAAGTCAAGCTTGATTGGATCTCTCCAGAGTCAAGTCTGACTGTGATGGGATCTCCTTTTCTATCCCAAAAACCAAGGTCCCCCAACTCTGATGGAAATCATGGGAGTTATATTCCCAACCCATCTGGAAGGCATCAGATTGGAAAAGGGTATCCTAAATGTTAAGAGCTAAAAGCAGCTACAGTATATAAAAGGATTATCGAATTAAGGTTGTATTGAACTGGGGAGGGGTACAGCTTGTTGTCCATATCTGTGGCACAGTCCAGAGGTACCTTCTTAAAGCACCAGCCATGAAGGAGAGAAGGGAGGAAAGCAATTTTTTTTTCTCTGTTGCAACTCTGGAGTGTTAGAAGCGAAGGTAGATCATATCAAGGTTCTTGCAGCATCTCAAGGGGAGAGAAAAATTGATACCCAAACCACTTAAGCATTGATCTCAGAGTTGCAGCTGCCACCTTGACCTTTTTGACCCTGCTCCTGATGAAATTGGACAAGCTAGACACTCTCAAGCCATGGTCCTGCTCCAAATTTCCACACTATTTCAAGCAGAAAACATATCATGACAGATTTCTTTTCTTGGAAAATTACAAGAAACATATAAGCTGTTTGTACTTGGGTGCTGCTGAGAACCCTTTATTTTTTTAAGAAACGCTGTCACCCACTTGCAGCCGATCAGAACTGACTTCCCTGAGAGCAATCCTATCATTCTGGGTTGACGTTGCTGTCTGCCAATACAGCTGTAGCATAGCCAGTTGTGATCAAGGAAAATCTTATGCCAAAGCGGTGGCAACGTTTTTCAGGTCAAAATGATCTCTCCAAAAGTAGGTACAACTCTATTAACTGGTGCAGAATAGCTCAATGGCAGGTATTTTTGCATAATTTCTACAGCGTTCATGCTTTTCTCATTGCAGAATCTCATTACATTGGTTCCTTTCTCCCCCCCTCCTTTAAAAAAGCAGAGACTCACACTGCTGTAGATTAAGTGTGCCCATGTTTTACAGTTTACATTTCATGGTGGATGGGTTTCGGTACTAACTTATTACTGTTTATCTCTGTGTTTGTTTAATATACTGCCCATCCCCTTAAAAGATCCCAAGGTGGTGTACAAAACTATAAATGTATAGCGTCACTGTACAATAATTTTTAAAAATCCAATAAAAGGCTCAAAGGAGAACTCATCTATCAACTGGCAACTAAAACACTTCAAGCATCAGTTCTAGGTGCCTTTTCATCTTAGGGTTGTATTACTCCACAAACTCTGTTTAATCAGGCCAGCCACTGGCCGACCTTGTCTGAACTTGGAAGCTAAGTGGGGTTGCACCTCATTAGGACTTAGATGGGAGACCACTAGGAAGTACCCAGGCTGATTGGAAAGTCGAAAAACATCCTAAAAGAAAGCTGTGGGACAATTTTCCAAGAGAGACACCTGAAAGCATCAGTATCCTCTGGATCTTGTTTCCTCTGTCAGCGTGACAAAAACAATGTTGTGACATCAACCACAGGAGTGGTGGGTGGGTGATTTCGCAACACGTGTAGAAAAGGGCCAGGTCTTGCGTTATGATACCACAATGTTACTTTCCTCAGTTTGATTCTCCTTGGCCTCTCTGTGGACCCCACTGCCTGGAAGTGTCCATGAAGTCCCCAGGAGATGAGTTTGCTTTGAAACAGGCTTTATCTTGTCATTTGACAATGGGGGAACGATTGTTCTGATCTCAGGAGGCAATTCCATAATTGAGGCATCACCACTGAGAAGGACCTATCTTGATTCACACCCTGTGGGCCAGAATCAAGATGGGACCCCAATCAGAGCTTCTGCTGGCATGTCTCAACACAACGGTTGGTTGGCATTGGAGAAAACAAGGGCATCTGAGACTGTGTGATTGAAGCCTTGTGCCTTTTTTACATGTGCCGCGTGTGACAAGGGGCGAGCCCTCAGTCACATGGTCACAACAGCCATTCTGATTTTTACCACCCCCCTGCAGCTGCTCCAAAAGGAAACACCCTTTCCAACCCTCTGCAACCATCGCTTTCGTTGTTTTGTGGTTGATGCTGATGCTGCCTTCACAGCACCGCATTTTTAAAGCTTATTTTGATGTGTGGGTACAGCATTTTAAAGAGCGTATTTTCAGTTAGTTTGACAACTGACCTGCAGGGTGGGAAAGAAAGCTAAATAATGTAACTGAGGATATAAAGACACTGAAATGATCGCGTGGTCGGAGAACTGATTTTCAAAAGCCGGTATTTGAATGCTGGTTCTTCCCCAGCTCGTGCCTCTGCAATTTCACATTCCTGTTGGAATATAAAAGAATATAATATATTCTTGCAATATAATAAAGTGACTTCTAGCTATTCTTGCCCTCAGCTGCTGATGTCTGGTAGCAAAACCATATCTACATAACAGGCATCTCCCGAAGCCAACTGTAGTTCACCCAGACCACCTACCCAGAGAGTTAGGAGTGTGTTCCCAGCCAAAATAAGGTAGTCTCCCTTAACCTTGTTACAGCACCACATCAAAGGATTCTGAGAAAATCTATCCGTACCATCTTGTTGGGGAGGGAAAGAAATGTTGTTCCTGATCTTTAGAAGTCT